AGGATGCATCCTGTCACAGCTTGTCTTGCATCTTGATAAACCCAGGACTGCAGCAGTGATGGAGAAAACAGCAGTGAAGAGAAACGATGCCCAGCCCTGGAGCTGTTGCAGCTCCCATGTGATGGAGGGTGGTGCTTCATTTTCCTCTCTGCAGCTTGGCAGAACTCATCGCTGCACCAACTCAATCAGAAGAGGACAGAGGGTTGAAGACATTCAGAGAGAAGTGGTCCATGCTTCCCTCATCACTTAATAGGGCATGGGAGTCCTTTAAGGACAACAGCAGTAACATCACTGCCCACCCCACAATCAAGGGTGGGCAATGTTACTGGGAACATTGGAGGATGGAGTTTCACTGGTGTTAACGCCACAGGCTTTAAGCCATTTTTAGCCACTTCTGGCACAAGGAGACAGTAACTTTCTTCCAGGGATGCCTGGGATTCCCTCCTTGGCCCCACAAGACAGATGGAGGGACTTCACCTAGGACAAGGGACAGGGGCATGCTTAGTGTAAACATCAGTACATCACCTGACAGAACTCTTTTCTTGCTAACTTTTATATCCAAGATATAAAATCAATCCCTGACCAGGCCTGAGTCCCACTTCCTTTGCAGCTGGGTGCTTAATAGAAAAGTGGTGGAGATGGCATGGCACAAAGCATGACGTTTCTCAGCTGGTGGGGATGCGAGGACAGTGTCTCTCAGGAACGCGTGGTATGATGAGGGCATCATGAGTCACTGTTTTTTCTCCAGCTGGAAGCAGAGAAAGGTTTCCCCATCATCAGCCCTATGCTCACATATACCTCCAGCCACCTCCAGGAAGGTTAGAAACAGCTCAGCACATACCCCAAGACCATCCACCAGCTTATCATGGGGATGAGCAGCTGAGCTTCTCCTTTTCTTCCCTGCTGCAAAATCTTACAGCAGGAGCCCACCAGCTCACAGAGGTTGAGCAATGCCATACAACTGAGTGACGCAGAAGAGAGGCTTTAGCATGTGTCACCTCAAAGCCCTGGATCCAGCCCCAGGGTCTGCTGTCCCAATGAGCCATGATCCGTGCCAGAGGGGGACATCAGGGAGAGATTTGCATTGTGGAACCTGCAGGTTGGCTGCTCTTCTTGCTCTAGAGGAGTTCTCCTCACTCTTTCTTGCTCAGCCTGGAACTGTGCTGCCTGGAGAGAAGAACCAGGCACCTTCCCTTTCACCTTCCCACCCGCAGGCCACCACCAAGCGCCATGGAAGGGCTCAGCACTGCCAGCAGTGACCTAACTTAGGACACTTTCCTGCTCAATCCTTCAGAAGTGATCTCCAAATGACCATTACATCCCACAAGGAAAGGGATGTGAAGCCTCACCTCTGGTGTCAAGAGATAAAGCACCAAGATTCAAAACAGGATGTGGGTTCGATTGGTAAATCCAAGCTCCTGAGGGATCCTACACTACAGTGATTCTAAAGCATTGCATGTTAACAATGAATACAAAACAACCAAGCATCTTTAAACCCTCACTAAGAGGTGTCTATGCAATATTGTGCATCTTGAGCACATGTGCAAAAAGCACTGGGTTTTGCACCAGACAAAGGGCTGCAGCATGACCTGGACCCTCCTGTGGTCACTTCCTTTCATAATTGCAGGAAATTGCAATTTAGGCTGTGTGCAGAGGGAAGTGTTCATACCTGCCTGGAGGGCTGATGTAGCTTCAAGAATCTCAGAAAAACCCTGCAGGGCAGTGTCCCAGGGAGCTGCACGAGCAGGAAATGAGCCAAGGAGCTGGGGGCACTCCTGTGCTAGCCACGCCCTCCCCAACTGGGCACCTCCATAGGGTCTCAGCATGGCTGGTAGAGTTGAGGATGGGACAGGTTCCATAAACAGCCCCAGATATAGCAAGAGGATGAACCAGGAACAGGGTCCCTCCAAGATGCCCACTCTGGAGCAGGAGAAGGGCCCGGAGATAAAGCTACAAGTCAGATCCAAAACCCACGCACAACCAGGGTAGGAGATAAGGACATATTTAATGCAGCTCTGAAGGGGACAGAGGACCCCGGCTTGAGTTTAAGTGAGGTCCCGGGCTATGGGGAAAGAGGTGTGTGGGTGTCCATTGCTTTTTCACACTGAGGATAGAATCCTGCTGTCTTCAGCTGAGCATGCCAAAGCTGGGGCACACTGGTAATGACCACAGGCTCCAAAAACATCATGACTTCCACAGCAACATCTTCGCTGTGTTTTGCTGGAGCTGGGAGCCATAAGTTCATGTGAGCACAGATCTGCAAGTGCAAGCACTGCTAATGAGAGCTAGACTTCTCACATGGTTGGCCTTAAATCTTTCCCTGAGAACTAGAGCCAGGAAAAAGCCTTGGGTTCATGAGCTGCAACAGCAGCAAAGCTCTGATCTTCCTAAGTTTCAGGAAGAATGACCCCAGAATTGATTCATCAGATGCAAGCAAAGTATAACAAGACAAAACATAAACCAAGCACTTCTCTAGTCACTTGTTCATATCTGACACCGATGTTTGAAAAAGTTAGGCAGGGAGAGCAGCTAAAAATGAGAGCTCAGTGTTCAGCTGACTGAGCCATTGCCAGCCAGCCAAGCAAAATGCTCTTGGCACAGGAACTTCTGCTAATGCTCTTAGCCTGTTGCAAATGCAAAGTAACACAGCCCACAGTGGCTGTTTAAATTAGGTCAGACTTCTTTGGCACTTCTGAGTAGAGAGCATGGAGAGATAATCACCAAGGCTGAACTCAGCAGCTTGTGAGTATGGGGTAATCTGTGCCATTCGTTCATGACATGAGTCATTGGCATTTCAACATGAAAATGCAATACCTTCAGATTCAGGAGCTCATGACACTCAAACTCCTTTTCTCTGGCACAGCCACTCTTTTACCCACATGCTATTCTGAGCTGTTGGTTAATACATACAGCAAAGTGGTAGAAATGCCTAGGTAAGTCCATCTACATCCTCATTTACCCAACCAGGCCTCAAGCCAAGATAATAAAAGAGAAACAGAGACAAACCTACCAAAAGCATGAAGGAACCCTTTCACCACTGCCTAGTGCTTGTATAGATAGACTGGAAAACAGGGAATAAGCATGTATGAATGGAATAGTTAGAAAAGGACAAGTGAGGGCACCTGAGCAGCTTGTCACCCCAGGGTCATCTGGGTCATGCATAGTTACTGACATGGCTGGCAAGAAAAAAAAAAGAGGCCACCTTCATACAGAGCACTCAGAGATGGGGGTGATGATGGTGGGGAAGCACGAGGACTTATTCCTATTGGCTCTGAACATGACCCAGATTCAGATTCTTAGTGTTGCACAACCAGTTCACCTTCCTGACAACATAAATCAAGATCTGGCTTGTGTTCACTGCAAGCTTGTCAAACCCCAGCAATGATGGGAAGTGCCATTTCCTTTAGGCGGAAAAGCATCCCACAGAAGATGGACTTCCAGGGAGCTGAACTCACTTTATGATATTTACACCAGAAAGAGTATATTTACAGCAAAACACAGAAAAACAAAAAGACACTAGATGAAGTAGGAAATGCACTATCAGGACTGTGAAAACAAGCAGCATTTCCATCACTCACCTCAACACCTTCACCCACTCCCAAGGCTCTTTCTCTTGACTTGGCACCTTCCCCTATTACCTGAAATTTCTTTAAAGGGGATCCTGCTTCTTCCTTCCAGTATTCCAGAGAGTAAAATCCTAAAGACCCCTCCTATACATAATCCCAAGCTCCAGTCTCACTTACCTTCTGCTCTGCTCGGAGAAGCCTGTCTCTCTTGCTTGGGATCTACAACATCACATCAAAACAAGGAAAAGCTACTTTTCCTTTTTTCCCCTCCCCTAGATCTGGAGCTGTCTTTCCCTGTGATGCTCACAACAACATCCAATACAGTGCAACACTTACAGAAACTAGCAGCAATGAATTGACTGAGTGAAAGGCACCTCCAAACTTGGACACACCCTTGGATTTAGAGGGTCACTTCTGGGGCATATTCAGACTCACAGAGCAAAGCCATGTTTTGTGTACAGTACCCATTTGCTATAAAACTACACTGGCTGATGACACTTCTTTCCCATCAGGTATCTACTTGAGAGCAATTACTAACTTTTTTTTCTTCTCCTTCTCCACTGGGCTGTCCTCAGGCTAAATAGGTTATGGGTTTCAGGGTCATCTGTCCTTCCCCATGCAGTAACGGTATTCCCAGTATCCTTTCAATACAAATTCATCACAGTTTAATAGGAAATACCTCAGCCAGTTCTCATGAGAGCTCTTGGGTGCTGACCCTCTGCTTTAAAGGCCTTTGCCCAGATCAGACATCATTCAAACTACCCCCAGGCAACACACAGCCAGATATAGTTCAGTCTCCCCAGAGAAAGGTTCATCACCGATACACTCCAGGCATTTCTGCATTCACCTCTGCTTGCAAACGGGAGCTGTCATGGGTCAGGCACACATGCCAAAGAAGCTGTTCCCCAGCAGTCAGAGTTTAACTTATAAATGAAGTGAGCCATGCTACTGCTTGGACTGGAAGGAAAGCACCAAGAATTCCCGCTCAGAAAAATCTGAGGATACTCTTGAAAAGATCAGATACCATAGGAAGCAAGAGTTCCAAAAACCTAGAAAAATAAAAAATGTGTTGCAGAAGGACACTAGAGTGGTTAATTCTTATACAGCACAGCTGCACGTGCAGCCTTACAACACAACAGTACTGCAACCAGGACCCAAAACAATTACAGCCTCAGTACCAGCTTGGGTTAATATTCCCAAGACAAAGTGTTTTCAAAAGTAGTGTTCCTTCGGTGAAAACAGCTATGACTTCCATCTCTTACTCAAAACTAGAGGTCAGGTTAAGGGACAAGAAGGCATGGTTTGTCTCTGTGATCAGGACCCCGCATTCCTTGTCATCCTATTCTTTGGGCAGGATACATTAGGTGACAAATAAAAGCAAACCCTCCTTCCAAGACAGGAGAAGATCAAAGAAAACCACACATCACAGCAATTATTAATTAAGTTTTTATGTTTACAGTAGTTACTTAACAGGGGTACCAAGGGTTTTAATCAGAATTCTGCTGGTGGAGTGACTTCATTGGGAAAGCTGCAGAAAGATCAAAACAGCTGCTCTAAAATAATAATTCCAAAAGAAGAAAGAATTGAGAGCATACTGTGCTTTAAAAGTAAAGTTACATGGTTTAATCTGCATAGCACAAGCATACAGAATTAGCTGAGTTACAGCTGTTGATAAAGCCCATCTCTATTTGTGTTATTGCCATTTTCTTTTAAATCTGAGCAACTGGTTGCTGGTTTCTGCTGGAATCAAGGTAGGTTCACCGGCACTGACTGTCCAGTAGCTCAATTTGGTTTCGCCAAGGAACATTCAACACTACGAACTTGCAGGTGGTGCGCTAAGGAGAGAAAGAAAGAATAAATTACCAGATTAAGAACATAAAACAGTGTCATTTACCATTGTTCTACACTTTTGTGGCTCTCTAGATTTGCCCTCTCCAGACAAGTATTCTGAAACAGCACTCTTGTAAGTACCTGCTCAGGATGAGTTATGTCTCTCAAATAAGCCTGAACAAGTAAAGCTGAGTAGTCAGCACTGCTGAGGAACAGGTTACCTCCTTTATCCATTCAGAGGAAAGCTTTCACCAAGGATAACACTCCAACATAAGCCCCCAGGCACAGCTAAGCACACTTGGACAGCTAATCCATATGTACCAGCTGCCATAGTGGTACACACCAGATTCTAGTGAGGTGCTTTGTGGATCATTTGTGTGCAGCTACACTTCTCATACATGCACAGGTACAAAGGGTACATACACATACAGCCCATGAAACACTATGGAAAAACTAGACTCAGGCCAGACCAAGGCAGACATATTTAGTGCTCCCATCCGGAAAGCTCAATTGCTCCTTAGACAAATTGCTATTAGACAAATGCTGGTGTAATACCTCGGTGGGCACAGAGAACAGGGATAATCTGCCTCTTTTGGGGAGTGCTTTGCCCAACGCTCTATTCATAGCAGTATAAGTCCTACAGGAAAGCATGCCAAGCCAAGCATGTTTACATCACCATGGGAAAGAAGAGCTGAAATATGGGGACTGAGAGCCAGGAGACCTGCAGGCTTGGCAGAGCTTCCTCCGTATATCCTTCTGATCCAGGCCATGAGCACTTGCTAAGAGGACTGAGACACATGCAGTGCTCCAGCCTCAGAGTCCCACTTATGAAGCTGGCAAAAGGCCCTGCCTTCTCTGACAATATCACCTGGCAAGACAAGTTCTGCAAGAGCAGTACCCTGTTAAGTGTACAGGCATAAGGTCTCTGTTCTTGGCTGGAAACCAGGGAGTCAGTAAGGTGCGTACCCTAGAGCTTACCTTAGCCATCTGCGGCTCATCGTGGAGAGCACAGTGCTGGAGATCAGCTGCTGGCTTTGTGCAAGTTGTCCGGGCAATCTCAACTTCCATTATGTACTTGATTCCAGCCACAATCTGCAACAAGACAAGTCAGAGGCAACTTTATTCGCACTACAGAGAGAAGGGCTCTCTGATGAGACAAGCCTGGCAAAGAGGCCGGCGGTGTTCCTGTTACGTGATGGAAACCAGACTCCGAGAGTAAAGAAGGGATTGTATGTGGCAACCTCCACGAAAGTGGCACTTGGCACCCTCTCAGAAATAGGAAACAAAATCCAAATAATCACGTCTCACAGAGCAGCTTCCTTAACAATAAACAGACACGTATTAACTCAGCAGCAGCAGAGAGAGACCACTGGCTTCTTCAATAACACGCAGCACTCAAGCTCACTCAGACAGAGGAGCCGAGCTATATAAAAAAGGGCTTTTACTCACCTTCCGCGGGGAAAAAAAACCTGAAAAACTTGCAGACGCCCTCAAGCTCGGGGCCTGCCCTGTCTCCAAAGGAATCCCACCGGCCTCACTCTTAGCTGCCCCCCCGCCCGGAGGGTGCCGGCCCCCCGCGCCGCTCACCTGCTTCTTGGCGCTGATGATCCGCACCACCCGGCTGGAGTACATGTCGTTGCTGGCCCTGTTGTACGCCGTCATGGCGAACTGCAGGGCCCGCTGGAGCCCCTCGTCGTTCTCGGGGTTGTCGATGACCTCCGGGGCCCCCAGGAGCCGCGGGCGGTTCTCGGCGGCCCGCACAATGCCGGCGGAGAACAGAGCCACAAGCAGCACCGCCACAAACCCGGTCACCCCCGCCATGGCTGCGCGCTCTGCCGGCCCCTCACGGCCACCGACGTTTTCAAGCCGCCGGGGCGGGGCGGGCCGGGGCGGTCTGTTTTGGGCCGGGCCTCGGGCCCCGCCTTCCCGGCCCCCAGCCTCCGGCGCTGCCTCAGGACTTCCCCGGGAGGGGGATGGGCATGAGGGAGGGGGAAGAAGGGTGCTTTCCCGGACGGGAAGTTGGAAGCTGGAGGCTTTTTCCAGGATCTGCCTCCCCCGTGGGTTATTCGTGCACTTATTTCCCTCTACTGCAGAGGGGAAAATAAAAACCACAGCATTTTAAGCTACTAGTGTGGCTCCTAGCACAAACACCGTGTGTCATTTCCTACCTCTGCCTCCGTAGCACTGGTGTTGCCTCATCTACGCTCCGGGGCCATCGGCGACATGGGAGGCTTCCCAGATGGATCGTTTCACCTCCCGTCGGCTCCCACAAACACCAGCCGATCTCCCTCATCCCGTCAGGAACCTTAAGTTTGGAAAGATGGGACCTAATATAGTATGAGGGAGATAGCTCCGGTGAGATTCAAGGCCTCAAGGAGTTGTTAGGCCGAGACAGGGTGAGGTTTTGCACGTGCATCCGCAGCATGCCTTGTAGTGGAAGGGGCGGGTGTGCTGGCTGGAAAGGCTGCCTGCATGCCAGCAATATCCAGCACTGCCACGGGATCCAGCATGTGTGACCCCTAGAAAAATCCCTGCAGTTGCCAGCAAGCTGTGCGACTAATTTAATGGGGACAGGGCATTGGGGTCGTTTTTATAGCTAGAGAAAGAATCAGAGACTGGCTTGGGTTGAAAGGGACCTCAAAGATCACCTCGTTCCAACCTCCCTGCCTTGGACAGGGACACTTTCCACAAGACAGGCTGCTCGAAGTGCCAGAGAGGGAACCAGGACATATTGAAGGTGAGCCTGAGCTGCTAGCAGCTGCAGGAGTCTGTCTCCATTTATGTTTTTCTTAATGGACCTTGGACCTAGACTGGAGCTCCAACTCAAGGTTGGAGCTTGCCTAGTGACTTAGAGGCGAAGGCTCTGTCAGTGACTGCTGCCAGCAGGAACAGCCACCTCCGGTCTAAATCAGTCACCTGCCAGGTGTCTTGGCACTGCCCTCTTCTGGCCCTGCCAGCTCAGGCCTCCATCGAGCAGTGCCTTGGCTCCCAGCCACTGGAGGTGCTCACCAGCCCCACATAGCTCATGTAGGAATTTGTGCCTCACACTACCGCACAAGGGAAGCACTGTGAGAGTTAAAAACAGTGCCTTGGGGATTCAGAGAATTTTGACCTTACAGGCAAACAAGCAAGCAAAGCCTGGGGTCAGCTTACTGGGGTTAAGGCATCCCAGTGTGGTTTAAAACTCGCAGTCGTAGGCAGCAAGTTAGCTCTCAGTACAGTGCTGGTGATGGCATGGTAATTTCTGCATGGGGACATTGTACAAGGTACAGGAGGTCACAGCCATGTTCTCCCTCACCTGCTTCGATGCCACAGCATGACTCTTCAGCCAGCCCTATTCTGTCTCAGAAACCCAGGGCTTCAGTTTCTTCTCACATGCCAGTCTGTCACTGGCCCAATGAATAACTGATGCCACAAAGGTACTCCAGCTGAAGAAACTGAGGAAGCAGAGGAGACTTCTTCATCACACAGGATGGAAAAGGCTCAACACAGAAAGGGATCATCCTCTTCAAGACAGGGACCACCTGCAGACCCCCAAACAGAAACAAGCTGCATTTGCTGACTACTGCCAGTCCAAACCCCACAAAATCAGGACTTGAAACAAAGCAACTATGAGAGAAAAAAAGGCTTGGCAAAAAAACTGTGTTCTACCGTTGATGAATAAAGGGCACCTGGTTCATGAAGTAAAACTGCATTTTGTCCTTTTGTTTTTGAAAGGTGCAACTATCTTATTCTATCAGAGGTACTTTTTATAAAATATAAAGCAGAAATTCCTGAATAGCCTAGATGACCAAAGAATACAGTAAATGAGGAACTTACCAAGCAGCAGGAGACTCGTGATAACATTGCGAATAATACTGTGTGCTATCAGTATAACTGTTTTAGTGTCCCCTTACACCGTTGGTTCAAGCATTTGTACAATACTCAATATACTTGTATCTACCTTTTTGTCTATGTTTCAACTTCACACAGGACTGATGACCTTTTTATGTTACCAGGCATACTCATTTCTCCAGATAATTGCTACATTCACTGTCCTTGCTTTTGACATCCCTCATCTCTCTTTTACCATCCAAAGGACCAATTATATACGTCTTTACTCAGTAGCTACCTCAAAAGATCTATAATACTGTGACATGTCTTTCAAAGTACAATTAGACAAGGATCTTTGAAAAAGCAGCTTGTCCTTTAATGAAGAGCAAGTTTCTTCACAGAGCTGAATTCTGAATGACCCTCGAGAGAGTCTGTGACAGAGACAGGAACACTGGGAAACAATGATCAAACACTAAACATCTGTTTCAGCTTCTCTGAACCAAGGGAAAGCATGCCAAATCTATGCTGGGGTCAGTGCTTTACAGCCTGCTAAATGAATCTAGAGCAGCAAAGGGTGGGGTACTGACATAGTTCCCCCTTCTCCTCCCACCACGCTGTGAAGCTAACACAAGGTAATACAAAGGGAAGTGTTTTGTAAAAGGACCAGTTTTGAAGGCTGAAAGCCTCTTGAGTTAGATAGTCAGCAGTTTCTGCTGGGACAAAGCAATAGCCTTCCTTCCATGCAATTTACTGGAGGGGGTCAAGTCCCTGACTCCTGTTGGAAGAGTTGCAGAGATATGATGCAGGACTCTTCCACTGTCTCTGGCATGCTGCTGGGTTTATGACTATTAAGTCATAGAAGCACTCGGTCATAAATTATGTAACATTTTTATCAATCTCTATCACTCAAAGAACATATTTCCTAAATACGAAAGCTTTACATTTACAAGTCTAGCCACTACAATATGTGCTTATTTGCAGAAAATCCTTCAAATAAATGTTCTGCAGCCTCCAGTCAAAGCCTTTTTCCATCTGTATGGGCATAAAGGTCCTGTGAAATACAGTGAGCCAGGCAGGACACTGTCCAGTTAGACAATCATATGGGCAGCTCTGTCTCCATGAGACTGAAACAAAAAATGCCCCATTTAATTAATCACTAAGATCTGTATGATCGAGCCCATAAAGACAGGACC